CATACGTATACACACACACACACACACACACACACACACACACACACACACACACACACACACACACACACTCACTATGACTCTCTCTCTCTCTCTTTCTTTATAATAAATAAACTTTTCCGTCTTTAACCTCTATTGGCAAGTAACATCATCATCGACTGTGTAATACGATATAATACGGAAACATTTATACACAGTCGCCGAGAGCTGAATTGTTGCCGTTTATACGAAGCCGGTTCTCTTCGAGGGGAGCGGAACGCGTGTCGAGAGATGGAAAGGGGTGGTTGTGTTATGGGATGTGTGGGGGAAGTTTCTGCGAATGCGGCAGAAACTCTCGCAGATTTTCCGTTTGTTATTTTAATTAGAGCCTTCGGGGCCTGCTCTTAACGAGTGCTTGGCTCTCGTCCGCGTTTATTGTATCCTTCTGAAATGACAGTTATGTCGTATCGTTAGACTTGTGTTGGTGAATTGTGAAAATGCACATTCAACTTGTTCTTCGTTTATTTATGCTTCCATGAAATAATTACATGACACCTTATTACGATGTTGATAAGGTGTCATAACTAAGCTGTCCACCCGTAATTGTAATCATTATGACTGTAATCGTAATTGATTAAATAAATGTTAAATAAATTTTGTAAGTAATTATTTTTTTATCTTATCTTATTACCACATTTTTCACACAATGTTACAAATATAATCATTGCATTTTTTTCGAGAAAGAATAAAAAGATTTTACTCTTTCCGTTAGGTTGATGTTTCTTAAAACATCGTTAAAAAGAGTTTCATCATCGTAAAGTTGCGTTAGCATTAACTTTTTTACTTGGTTAAGCAAAAAAAAAAAAAGGATAGAATGCAATCTTTTGTTGAGAACATCTCCCCGTTATGCAAAAAATTATACGAAAAACGGCGTATCATCGAACACAATATTTTCCCGAAATTAAGTAGACATGCCGTAAAACTATAAAAATCCGTTGGTCAAAAACTTGGTTTTCAGTCTTTTGTGTGTCTCTATTGATTCCGGTACTTCCTTGTAGCGATTTGATGTTCTTCATAAACAGATTTTTCACATTTACGTATTATGACATGACTTTGTGAAAAGACCTTTTAAGTGTACCATTTTATAAAAAAAAAAACCTTTATTTTATGTCATTACAAATATGTTATTTTAAATCTCCATTTTCGTTTAATGATATATATTTAAGTGTGTTTCATTATTTTAACCGCCCTAGACAAATATCTCGAAAAATATAGAAGATATGAAAAAATGTTTTAGACAAAAGTTGTATGGTTTCGAGGGGGACATAAGACAGTGCCATTAATTTGACCTTTAATAATTGTATGAAGGTCACTTTTAATTTTTTAAATGGAATGCTCCACTTTTATTTTATTTTCTTATAGCTTATCTCAAGAACTTTCAGAAACACTATAACTAAATATTTTATCATGACGTACTTTTCGAATTATGAGGCTTGAAAATCATATATGTGCCGACATTAGCATTACCCAAGGTATACTCATGGACGGCTAAAACCTCTCTTGAATGTTGTTCAGGATCATGGTCTGGATAACATTTGTCAAAGTCAAGGTCACTGGAGGAAGTCTTATTTTTATTTTTACATATAAAAAATATATAAATATATAAATAAATTTTCAGTGCAAAAATGAAAATAAGATAACAACCTCCAGTGGTCTCGATCTTGACAAATGTTATCCAGACCATGATCCTGAACAACATTCAAGAGGATTTAGCCGTACATTGAATACCTTGGGTAATGTTAATGCCGACGGTACTGCGTAATTTTCAATTATAATTCGAAAAGTACTTAATAAAAAAATATTTTATTTTTAGTGTTTTTTGGAAAACTCTTGAGATAAATTGTAAGAAAATAAAATAATTAAAATTTAAAAACTAAAAATATTAATACAATATCAAGTTTTCTGAAAATAAAATAAAAAATAGGGCGTTCTATTTAAGAAATTAAAAGTAATCTTTATGTGACCTTCATATAATTATTCAAGGTCAAATTAATGCACCGTCTTATGCTCGTATCACACTAGCAATTGGAGATTGCGGGTGCGGTCGAGTTGCCACTACGAATGTTTCGAAGCGTTTGATTAACCAATCAGAAGAAAGAATTTTACAAATTAACCAATCAAGAAACGCTTCGAAGTATTCGTAGTGGCAACTCGACCGCACCCGCGTCTACGTTCGCGTTTGCGTCTCTTAACCAATTAAAAAGAAACTACTAGTCAGCAGGTCTTATCTGATTGATCAAAAGATGCAATCGCGAACACAGACGCAATAGCCAATCGCTAGTGTGGTGCATAGAGCAAAAATTACATCGAAACGGAATAGTGAGACCAATCACAATCGCAAAAAGGAAAGCAGAGTAATGATTGGTCTCATGCATTGTTCCGTTGTAATTTTCTCTCCATGTAACAGCACTCTGATACGGGCATTATGTCCTCCTCGAAACCATACAACTTTTGTCTAAAACATTTTTTTGTATTTTCCATATTTTTCAAAATATTTGCCTAGGACGAAGAAAATGAAACATATGTATGAAAAAGTTTTTAAAATATATCCATACGCGAATTTGTAATTATACTTATTCAAAACGGTCAAGAGGTGCAATAGTGCGAGTGGAATTATTTTGAAATTGAATATTTTATAATTTGTAAATAGAAAGCATATTATTCTCATTATGTGGTATTGTATCGGCATTGCACAGTATAAGAGTTCAGAGAAGCCGCTTTTAATAACCCGGATGCGAATACTTCTACCTAGCACTCCTAGCAGTGTCGTATTTGGATCTAAGGTTCAGGCTAGTATAATCCGCGCGAGGTAGATAATCTGCTTCAAGTTCTTTAACCTCACCTATACATGATATCGCATATCCTATTACTTTTTCTTTATAGCTGGCATTTTATTGAGAGAAAGAGAGAGAGAGAGAGAGAGAGAAGACATGAGGGCCTTTTTCCTGTACCCCAGCAAAATGCCTTGCACACTCTACTGCCTTCTAAAGAAAATGAGCGCGTTCAGCGGACTCAATAGTTGAGTGAGCGCTCGCTGTTATTGGTGTATTCTTTTAGATCATCCAATCAAAATTTTAGATCTGGAAGAATACATCAATAATAGCGAGCGCTCACTCAACTGTTGAGTCCGCTGAATGCGCCCAATAGCTGTGTTCAGCAGAAAAAGCAGCTTTGTTATTGATAGTGTTCAGCAGACTCAACTGTTGCGGAGCGGATCTGTGAGCGCTCGCTACTATTGGATGATCTAAAAGAATATACCAATAGCAGCGAGCGCTCACGGATCCGCTCCGCAACAGTTGAGGGCCTCTTTCACCAACGCCGATTAACTTAATCGACGATTAGTCCATTGGAATTGACTAATCGCATTTATCATTTAGTTTTGACGACAGACGCGATTGGTCAATTCCAATGGACTAATCGTCGATTAAGTTAATCGGCGTTGGTGAATGAGGCCCTGAGTCTGCTGAACTTTGACTATATAACTATATAGTCAAAGCTGCTGAACATGACCATTGACCTAGTTTACACCCAGCAGTTCAATCCCGATTGACTTCGAAGTGAAGTGGATTTATGGGATCTGTTCTTTATTCCTGCACTATCTAAACTGGTGCACACGGTGCAATAAGTTAAAGCGAAATAAACGTATATTTGTTTCACTTTAACTTATTGCACCGTTTGCACCAGTTCGAAGAGTGCAGGAATAAAGAACGAACCTATGGAATGTTTACACCGGATTCGCTCTACTCCGTTGAGAAAAAAGGATTGAAATCAATCGAAACTAATCCGTTTACACCCAAGAAATTTCAGTTCACTTCAAAATGAATCGGGATTGGACGGCTGGGTGTAAACTAGAGCATTGTAAAATTCTCTGATATGATAGGTCTTGCCATGAAGAAGGCATGCGCGTAGTACCAGGGAGAAACCTGAGGCTGGAGTCACATTGAGCGGAAATCTACAGCGGAACGGAACAGCGAGACCAATCACAATCGCAGAAAGCAATGCAGCGGAATGATTGTAGAGTTCTGATTGGTTTCACTATTCCGTTCCGCTGTAATTTGCTAAATGCGACTCCAGCCTGAGGGTGCAAACCCATGCAGCGGAATAGCGTAACGCGGAATGAGAGTAGAGCCAATCACGAGATTCTCTAGAAACATGGAATGCTCGTTATTGGTTCTGCTCTCGTTCCGCGTTACGCTATTCCGCTGCATGGGTTTGCACCCTGAGGGCGGGTTCACACCTTGACGGAAAAACGGAAAGCGGAAAAGCAGTAGCCAATCAGGTAGTCGACTTTCTGTTAGTTTTGTACTATTTACTACCAACGCGAGTTCTGATCGGTTAACTGCTCTTCCGCTTGCCGCTTTTCCGTCAAGATGTGAACCCGCCCTGAGAGAGAACATGACGGCCATTTACCTGTAACCGCAAAAATACTGCCGCGCACTACTGCCCTCTGAAGAAGTGGATGTAAACTACACAACAATATCCATCTTTTTACAGCACTCCTGGTGGAAATAAATCACTGAAATCGTTAAAATAACTCAAATCTATCAAATTAATAAAGATTTTAACGGTTTCAGTGATTTATTTCCACCAGGAGTGCCGTAAAAAGATGGATATTGTTGTGTAGTTTACATCCACTTCTTCAGAGGGCAGTAGTGCGCGGCAGCATTTTGCGGTTACAGGTTTTACTAGGCCGTCATGTCCTCTCTCAGGTTTTCTCTGGTAGCATGTAGCATCTGGTATTACTGTCGGTATGACAGATTTCCTAACCTGAATAGTCGTAAACTTTAACGCTTAATATCTCGGTTCGTAGGGCAGAGACACTTTTTTCTGTCATATTCTTTTGTTTCATGCAAAAACGCGTCGAATAAGCCTAATTTTATCGAAATCGGAGGGTGATGGATGTATTCTGTATAATTACCTAATATTCTTTTTTTTACTATTATTTGTGAGCAAAATCCGCTATGAAAATAATAAAATTGGACATTTTCTTGTGGAGACTTAAACGTGTCAATAAAATTGCAGTTAGTAATGCTACTTGTTTTAACATATTAACAACTGCTTTACCTTATAGTGTTTGTAATGACTGTAGCACAAAGATTGCAAAAGATTTAATTTACAACAATCAGCAATCTATGTCAAATAATGTTATAATTAAACATGGTTCAAAAATACAGAATTTTCTGTATATATCTCATCCTCGTATTGTTTCTCATGCAATGTTATATAATGAAAGGAAACACGGTGGATATAAATCATATCGCAGTAGTCAGTATAATAACATTAGATATCTTTCAAATACTGGTATTGATTCCGTTGCTGAAGTTAAAGTTCCAATGCAGTTTAATGGCCTATTCAAAGCAATATCTGAAAGTGCACCTATTAAAATCTCACAAGATTTCTTATTGTTGGTACATGATTATACAGGTTTACCATGGTGGTCAGTCATTGTACTTTCCACCATTATGATGAGAACAGCAGTGACATTACCATTATCCTTGTATCAGGTATTTTTGTAAAAACACATTATTTCTATAAACTTATATATTTATATGATAGGTAAAATTATAAGACTTATAGTTACATATATAAAATAATTATTTTCTTTCATATATGATTTGTTATATGCTACTCAATAAAAACATAGGAAACACTTTCATAACATTCAAAATAATACCTACAATTTTCAGATTGTTGAAACTTTATGAAAAATTATTGCAGATAAAAAAATAAAAGAGTATTATAAGGCTTAAAATTTTTCAAAGCATGCTTCTGGCTGTATTTTTTTTTAAATTGTTTTGTGGCTTAATAACAAAGATTATATTTTGTTATCAGTTTTTATTAGTTTAAATTCTCACTTATCCTATAAGATTTAATATTATTACATTATTATTTTTCTCAAAATTATACATTGAATATTAATAAATATATTGGTTAGCGTGTCAACTATTTTATAAATGTGATGCCTTTACTATACTTTGACACACTGGGTGCATCCAGAAGCACGACCGCTTACTGAGCGCTCAGTGAGCTCTGGTACCTGTTTAGTTTATATTTTTAGATCTAATATAGAACATGCCAATCAGATATAAAAGCTCACTGAGCGCTTAGTGAGCGGTAGAGCTTTTGGATGCACCAACTGATCAATATGTACATGTGATTATGGTATATTCAACAGTTAATAGTTTGATAAAATTTTTTTCTAAAAAACAGAAAAATAGTTTTGCAAAAAGTTTAAAAAAGTTTTGTAAAAAAATCAAAAATTTTTTATTTTTTGTCAATTCTGTAGAATTAAATTTAAAAACGATCAGATTACAGTATATACTTTGGGTTTTAGAGAACACATTTTTAATCTTTTGATGATTTTTCATTGAATTTTAATGTTGATTTTAAGAAATGCAAGTTTAGCTTGAAAATCATGTAATTTAATTTAAAAAAAAATCATTAAAAAATTTGTTTTAAGTCATTTTGTAGATAAAATTTTTTTTTTTTGTAAAAGTATTAAATTTTTAGAAAAAAAATTTTATCAAGCTGCGAACTGTTGAATGTATATAATTTTAAAGAACATAATAATGTAATCTTTGATACAGAGCAATAAAGATAAAAGTTTTTCGAAGAATGGTCAAAAGTATGTTAAAGTACAAATTTTTTAATTTTTTAATTTTTTTTTGCAATATAATTTTTTGCTGAGTTTTGGTGATTGAAAATTATGTATCTATTTACCTAATCTTACACATTTTGAAAATTCACCTATTTTTTTATTGAGTAGTGTGTTAATTCTTTTCAAAGTTTTAAATAAATTCAATTAACATTATATGAAAAACTGTAATTGGACTATTTTATACAAAGTTATATTAAAAATTAATTTTCAATATTTTCTTTTTAGTTTATTATTTGTGTATATTTTGAAGTATAATGCAATTTTTAGATTCTAATGATTTTTATCATGATATTTTTAGCTATATATATTAGCAAAATTGGAAAACCTCAAATACGAAATGGATGAGATAGTTCAAGAGATGAAAAAAGAGATAAATTATGGCATACATAAATATAATTGGTCTAAACAATATGCGAAACGTTTATACAATCACTCTGTAGGTAATGTTTTATTTTGTTTACTTTAAGCTTTTAAATTAATGAGTTAATAAGGGCAAATTTGATTAGAATATTTTATCTTTAAATATTTAATATTTTTATTGCAGCTAAACAATGGAATAAATTAATTGTTCGAGAAAATTGCCATCCAGCTAAAACTATTTTATTGGTACTAGTGCAAGTACCTTTGTGGATATCGTTATCAATGTCTATTAGAAATTTATGTTATATGTTACCTAAACAGGATGCTAGTATGTATGAATAACGATAAAATAATTATTTGAATAAAGTAAGAATTAGTACATATCTCTAAAATGTTTATTTTATCAGATGCTTACATTACTTATCAGGAATTTATAACTGATGGATTTCTTTGGATGTCTAACTTAACAACAGCAGATCCATTTGTACTTCCTATATCAATGGGATTATTCAATTTAGCCATAATAGAAGTAAATTTTTAATATAATTTCTGATTGGTTTATAAATATTATAAACGAATCTGAAAAATTTTAATTATATTCTGAGTCTTTATATCTCACACTCTAATTTTTAACTTTACAGATAACTTGTATGAGTAGGGTAGTAGAGTCGACAAAATGGCAGAGATACTTGACCAATTGTTGTAGAATTGCTACAATTGGAATGATCCCTATCGCTATGTCTGTACCATCTGTAAGTTTAAAAAAGTTTATAAGAATATTATTTAATTATACAAAAAATACAATCTGAAATATATTTTTTTACAGTGTTTGAGCTTGTACTGGGCAACTAGTAGTGCATTTGGTCTTTTCCAAAATCTCATTTTGTTGTCTCCAAAATTACGTCGTTTTGCAAAAGTACCTATAACTACTTCTGAATCACCACATCCATACTTGATATTGCGTAATAAGATAGCAGCTAGATGTTGTTTCAAAGGAAAAATGGAAATTCCACCAAAGATATAAATGTGTTTTATACGAGTTAATCACGTGTACAAATAAATTATATGCATATAAGTTTTACAAAATGTGCTTTGTAATTCATAAACTTACATTTTTGATACATATATGTTTTGATACCTTATAAAATTTTCTAAGTAATATTGCGTGCGTGCATGCGTATGTGTGTGTACATATATATTCTCCTATTTTTAAATTGACATATTATGATAACGCGTTATTTTAACAGTGTTATGATAACACTATTATCTAGTCTGAAGCCTCTTTTTGTTGAGCTGTTAGAGTTCTTCGATTTCGGTGAAATTTGGTATTAGGTGGGTTTCCGCGGATTCGCTCTTTCCGAATCCGGGTTCAAAATTTGAAAATTCTAAATGGCTTGTTTATGTTTATGTTAAATTTATGATCGGTATTCACGAAGAAAAAATTTACTATGAGATAAACATGGGGCGAGTTCAAGCTGCGGTCGAGTTGCAACTACGAAATACGAATGCTTTGAAGAGTTTGATTGACCAATCAAAAGAATGAATACCGGCCTAAATCATGCTTATGTGTAACTAGCAGTCGTGCTAGGCCGCCGACTGATGGCGCTAGTTGCGATGTCGTAAACCGTCTGATTTGGCATCTCTGTGTACTACATACACTGTGGCTCAGTAGTGGTAACGATAGTGATTTGTTCATCTTCTCTGGTTTTACGTTTTTATTGTGATGCGATGCGAATATCTTACATCCGAATATATTGTTGTATATTTCCGATATTGTTTTTTTGAATTTTATTTATTTGTAAATATATATATATAATTGATACAATTATCATGGCCCAAGACAATTCGTGGAAAACGCCACATTTTCGTCAAAGTGTAGTCGCGAAAATGTAAGTTGTATTGGTTGAGATTAATTATTTAGAATTGCTTCCTCATAGCTCAAATTTTAATAAAAATATACTCATTCGATATGTTTTTACTCAAAACGAAAGAACCTAGCAGTCTGCTTCGATAATTTAGACAAGTTATTAAACGTTAAAAGTTTGAAACTTTAAAGGTTAATAAGGTATTTGTCATGTTAACTCGATACATACAGAGCTAATATGTATATATATAATATATATATATATATACGTATTTTAACAATTAATTTTTAAAAATAAATCTCTGCTTTAATCACACAAATTTATTTCTTTAAAAACACAAATTTACTTTCTCTAAAATAGAGAAACAAGAAAACAGAAATATAAGAAAATTTGTATTTTTAAAGTAGTGAATTTGTTTTAAAGTGAAGGATTTGTTATATATATCTATATATATAAAACAAATCCTTCACTTTAAAATTCACTACTTTAAAAAATGAATTTAAAAACTTTAATCCATATAAAAAAATTAAAGTTAAGTTATAAATTTGGTATAATAAGTTAGAATAACTATTCTCTGTTCTATATATATATATATATATGTATATATTTATATATATATACACAAAACGTCCGGAATTGTTAAACAGCGATGTATTCACATTTCAATAATTTCATCATTGAAATAATTAAACGTCATTGGATATAATCACATCATGTTTTAGTAAATAATTTTATAACAACAATATGCACCATTTACCGCGTTGTCTCTTATATAGCCGAATTTAAATTTGTTATTGTTTTTGATTTTTAAATTCTTTTTTTTAAATAGATCTCTGTAACTAATATAAATATGACTTCATCATTGTTGTCCAAAATCCTATGAATTTTGAAAAATGTTACAAATGTTTCGCTATGCATTATTTAATTTCTCAATTAAAATTAATAATATTACCTTATGACTTAAATAAATAAATTTATAGTGGTTCTTGTATTTCTGACTTATCAGTCAATATAATAGATATTTTGTCTTCTAAAATTTTGAATTTTAACACTTAATAACTTTGTTTATGAGACAGACCGCTGCGTTTTTTAGAGGTTCTCTTGTTTTGAGTGAAAATGTGATAAATATTTTTATTAAAATTTGAGCTGAGGAAGTGATTTAAATTATCATTTTACTTAAAGTTATTAAATAAATTTACTTTTTACATGGAGTATTGATATTTACATATATATATTTATTTTTACATATATATGTTTTATTTTTTTACATGAAATACATAACTTATTAGTTGTGTATATGAGTTAATAGATTTATTTTAAATCAATTTGCTCTTTTCTTTTTTTACTGTTTCTAGTATTTACAATTCTTTATTTACTTTTTTCTGTAAAATTTTGCTATAAAATTGTTTTTCCTCTTTTCTTCATTTGATATATAATTGCAAACATTTTATTAACAACAGTGATGAAGCAGTACAAGTATCTGGTATGCCTACGACAAAGAATAGCATTGAAATGGAGAATCATGTCTTCCAAAAAGCTAAATCTAAGGTATGTCTAGAATTAACTAGGAACTTATTAATTCTCTCTATCCTTTGCAGCTGCGTTATATTATACTTTTTAGATTTAAAGTTAAATAAATATATTAGTTATTTTCCATTTTTATACGAGTGATATTGACAAGAAAAGGTTCCTAACTTAAAAATTCAAAAAATTATGAAACTGACAATACGTAGAAGATATCCTGAGTGTAATAAGCAATCTTTTTTGTTGACCAAATTTACGCTAAATGGATAAAAATAAATTCCTGAAAATATTAGTTATTATTATTTTAGTATTATATTTATCATTAAAAGGAAATGGAACAAAAATTTCAGAGGAAAAATTAATTTTTTAAAGTAAGATTTATTGATTAAGAAACTTATTAATTGTTTAATTACATGAACAATTCAAATTATCAAAATATGAACGAAGAATAAATATATAATAACATGTAACATGAATAATAACTTTCCACTTGAAGTAAAATTGTTCCAGGTATTTATGTATTTCATGTATTGAAAGCACCTTAACTATTGTAAGACTTCAACTAACTATGAAACACTTAAATGTATTATATAATATTATTAAAAAACCATAAAATATTAATGTAAATATATTGTTTGTTTTTTGTTTATGTATATTTATTATTTTTTTAGACAATCAATAAGTTTTCTAATCACTAAATCTCTTTTATTTAAAAAAATTAATTTTTTTCTCTAAAATTTTATTCTGTCTCCTGTTGTTGGTGAATAATAAAATAAAAACGATAAGTGGAATAATCTTCAAAAGTTGATTTTACCGTTTTGGATAAATTCAGGCAGCAAAAAAAATTATTTTTTTTATTTCGGATAGTTTCTATGTATTGCCAATGTTTCATAATTTTTTTAATTTCTATGTTGGAGACTTTTTTTTGTAAATCTAGCGTTATGTATTTTATACTCTGATCACTACTTACTTTAATGTCAAAATTATTATGTAACAAATTTATAATTTCATCTTTAATTAAGTGGTAATACAGTCATAAAAATAAATGTATTTTGGCAGTACTTTGAATAATAAATAATAGCAAGAGGTATTGGTAAAAGGTTCAATATTTTGTTATAGAGCATTATATTTACGTTTAAACATTCGAATAAATTGTTATAATTTCTTATTTTAATTATATAAAATATAAGCTATATTTTGTATGCTTTCCTTTTAGAGGGCACACTCGACACAAACGTCGTTCTATCTTTATCATTCGTTGAAGACGTCAAGAAAGATAGAACGACGTTTGTGTCGAGTGTGCTCTCTAAAAGGAAAGCATACTTTATTAAAACTATACTTAAATTTTAGAGACAATTGTATATAGGATATATTCTGTGATGCTAAACAAATTATTTCAAATTCCTTGTCTTTTTAACTCTTATAACTTACAATGTAATACCTGTTTTATCTTTTTGATATCTTTTCAGTATTTTTAAATGGGAGCAAGTTTGGACGCTTTGATTAGTTATATGGCTATCTCACCATGTTATCATGTTGAAATTGGGGTTTGACTAAATAAAAATTAAATATTTCTTTTTTTTACCGTCTTATTACATAAACATGAAAAATTAGAAACAATGTAATAATCTTATTAGATTGTACATGTGAGAAAGGCCCATAATGGTCAAGGTTAGATCTTTACTGCTTAAATAATTCAATTTAAATTATCTATATGTACACTATATACATGTACATACATATATGTACATACATATACAGGGTGTACCAAAAGTCTGGATACATCTAAATATCTCATAAACGATTTTTTCTAAAATGCATCGTTTATGTCATATTTAGGTGTATCCAGACTTTTGGTACATGCTGTATATCATATTTGTAGTTATTTTTTAACTGCGCACCGAAATTTTATCAAATTTAATAACGCAATTAAACTACCGAAATAATATCACAAATTTTGCGCAGTTCAAAAATAATTACAAATATGATATGATATCCCTGATAAAAAATGTTGATAGAGAATGATTGAGAACAATCGGATTTCTATCAATTTGTATCGTGTTTTTTTAATAAGTTTATATCATTTTTAACTGATATTTTATATATCTAAAATTTTATCAGATTTAAAAACGCAATTAAATACTGAAATACTATCACAATTAAATTTCGATGCTCAATAAGCATTTATTATAATAGAAAAATCTTAATATAATAATACAATTAATCTATAAATAAATTTACAGAAATCTGTAAATAAATTTACAATATTCAAATCTAAAGACCGTCAATGTAAGAACATAACTAATACGAATACGAAGCCTATAACAGTCTAACTTGGATTTGGAATATATAATTTCGCGTAAATTTATATACTAGGTAATATATGTAGTCTCTCTAAACTGCGCGCCGAACAATTGTCGGTCTTGAAACTCTAATAAACTACCATAGTACTATTACAAATTAAATTGATTAACAATTTAATAATTAATTGATGCTTTTTTGGGCATCTCATATCGATGTTAAACTATATTAAAATCTGAAAATATTAAATCTGAAAATAATTCTTATTGAGAAAAATATTACCTCGGCTGGAAGTCGAACCTGGATCGCTTGCTTCACGCGCAAGCGTCCTAGC